GGACCAGTGTCGTGAAATCGATTGATTTCAAGGGCGCAGGATGAATATTCAATTGATAAAATTGGCAGGCACTCTAATTTACTAGTTGTTCTAATCGCCGGAAGCGGCCAACCAGAAACTTACGTAAGTTCATTAATGTTAATGAAATGTGGCATGGGAACTCTCGAAGTATAGAAAAATCGAGGTCAAGTTTCAAGGTCAAGCCTTATCAAGGTCAAGCGTTACCGAACTGCAAGGAATGTCGCCAGGTCGTTTCATCGTCGCAGGTAATTCGGGATGCTCAGGATGCATCAGCTTGACGCGTCCGCGAGTTCCCATGCCAAGTTGCATGGAATCCTTCCGTTTCCTGTTTCAGTCGGAGTGTTTGGTAAGTTTTTCGTGAATTCGTTCATCGTTCACACTTGAAGCTCCAATATATTTAATCGTACGCTGGTACGAACTCGTGAACCAATTTAATCGAATTCGGACTATTTTCCCCCTCTGATTCAATGTCATGAAGCGAAAAATCCAAGGCAAGACCTCTCGGCTACAGTTTTATATTTGCGATATTAAAATTAATCAGCGGTTGAAAACCACTGGTCTCGGCCGACCTGAAACCCAATTCATCGACCTTGTATATGGGTGTATGGATTTCGATGCACCAATGCGCAATTTTGAGGTCTTTCTGCACAAAGCCTGACAGATATGATTCCATTTATAGTTGAGCGCTTTTCTTCCACAGCTAAGTATCCTTCAAAGGCTTGTTTCTGCGAAGTCACTGGGATTTGTGAAATATATTTTCTTTGAAGCCTCAATTTTTTTTAAAACTGAGTCTGCCCCTCCCCCCGATATTGGACATCGGTCGGAGTGAATACACATTCTGGGACCAAATGGGGGCAAATCCTTTCCATTAAGGGCTGGTAAGAGTTCAATGATTCTTGGAAATTATGCAGTCAATTTGATGCTGTTCACGGTCTTTTTATTACTCAAACTTTCTTCAAGTGGAAAAAAACATCGTATTTTCATTTCATTTACAAGAAGTTAATAGAGAGGGTGTCCCAACAGTCACTATACATACAATTTCAAAAATTCTCATCTACTAAACAGTTGGCACAAATAAGAAGTAACACTTAACCAAATGATAGCACATCATTTGGAATTATCTGTCAAAAATGGAGGTGTTTCTGAGTTTTGAAAGTGCCTCAAAATGTCCTCCGCCTATATCAATACGTTTGGCATGAGGCTCAGCACCAAAATTGCTGAAACTCCCTTTGAACTCTGATGAGACTGTCAAAGACCTCCATCCAGGTGGCAACTTTCCTTTGCTGCTCAAGCGTCAACTGTGAAGCCTTTTCCCATAAGAGCAAAGGCAAATTAGTCGAAATGATTTTTTTTTCAGTTTCTGAAGTCTCTAAAATTAGGAGAGGAAAACAAGAAGTTTAGGAATTTTAATTTTGTATAAGAGAATTCAACAAACTGTACCATAACTTGCCCTAAAGAATTACACCTTTCTAATTTACTTTTGAAGTGATTCCTGTTTGAGTCTGATTCCAAGTCATTATTGTGAAAAAAAAATTCTAAGGAACATTGCATTTTATTATCGCAGTTTGAAATGGTATAGTGACTTATGGGACACCCTGTATAAAGGACTGATAATCCCAAATCAGTAACATCTTTCAGGGGAAAAAACTCTCTGCTCCAAGAATTTCCTCAAGCTGGTAGCTCAAATCTCCCCTTCTCAGTCCTTAATTGCTCATAATCCCATTTGGCGATGCTAGCATATTCAATAACATTTTGAAAACTATGATAGACAATGAAAGTTTTCAATAATATGCAGTTTCTGTCTTTGCCACAAAAGATAGTCCACCCTTGAGGGAAAAGAGGGGAATATCCTGGCTTGAGAAAGTACAGGGAGTGGAGAGTATATTTCTGCAGAATAAAATAAGTCTTTGAATAATCTGCAGATTGAAGGCCATATGAAGGCACAGGTTTGCACTTGCATAGAAATTCTCAATTAATCTGAAGCAGAAACATCTCAAGGAAAGGCAAGGTCAACTATAAACAGTACATCCAGAACACAACCCCTCAGAATGGTAGTCATAATCGACGGCGTGAGTCCATGAAATAATGAGCGAGAGTTCCGTCGAGAGAGGCAGAAAAGAGACTCCTATCAAGGGGAGAGAATCCAACATCTACAATAGTATTCCTCTTCTGAATCAGCTTCTTCATGTAGCTCCCAGGCTTCCTCAAATCATATAGGTACACCTTCAAGAAAGTAGTAAGAATAATTAGATTGTATTTGAAATGACATGGATGCATAAAAGTATACAAATTTCATACCATTGAATGATCAGAGCCAGAAGCCAAATATGTTCCACAGGGGCTGAAGGCACACCGGGACGGACAGGTCCGATTTTCGTGGGCAGTGAACCAGGAAACGCAGTCCCTGGAACGTAGGTCCCACAGCTTGATTCCATCACAGACAGCAGAGGTGAGAAAGAGATCATGGAGGCCGGAATGCATTTCGTATCTAGAGGATCCTGGCTGCAGGGTGAGGCAGTGCAGAGCTCTGCTGTGCGCATTTGCTATCAGACAGCTTCTTTTCCCGGCATTCAAGTCAATCACATGGACGGACTTGTCGGAACACCCACAGAGTACCAAGTCTAGACAAATCTAAGTCATGGAAAATGCACATCAGCCACATCCTGGCTCTTCTACATTTGAAATACAATTTCTGCACAGATGAATCTAATTGATCAATTTGGTGAATAAGAATTGCTCTTGTAAGGGAATTCTTGTCTAGCAACCTTCCTGATTGAGATAGCAGAACTTGAGCAAGTTGAAGCAAGTTTGAATGCAATGTTTTTCAGGTTTTTTCTGTATGGAGGGTGTTCCATTCGAAGATCATTCATGCAATAAAGAGAGTTACTTGGCAAGTTGTCCTTTGAAGTCCATTATCATTTCATGCATTACATGGTAAGGAAGTCCTCCATTCCACACATGTGGATAACTTTTGCACTTAAGGAAAAAAGCACAAAACATTTTAACCAAGCAAGAAACCGGTCAAAATATAGCACACTTAAAATGAAAACTTAATCCAAAAAGGCTGTAACTAGCTCCAAAGAATGAAAAACCACTGAGAAATAGCCTGATAGAGATGAATCTAAGCATGTACTTGGCACCGAGTTTGATGTAAAAGAGATTTCCATTGCCTGGAGAGTATCTACTCAGCAAACACTATTTAGAAAGGATACAAGAATGGAAGGTGTTGATCCCACTCATGCATGTTATATTCTGACATGGCAGGTCGAATGACTTGAGAAGCCCATATTTGCCTCTTGGTGCATATCTTGGAAAAGAAAATGGGCATGAAGTTCCTGTAAAATTGGTCATAGACACCAGAGTGTAATAGAGTAAGCTTACCGTCTGATATCATCAATATTTGTGTTTATAGCAAATGAGAAGACATGAAGAGTGCTCCTGACAGCTGCAAGAATGATCTTGTCCATGTAGAAGAAGCGTGCATCAGTCACATCTGTGGGTCGACTTCCCCCCATGCCCAGGTCCTTGATGACGAACATGGTCTGCCGCTTCCTCCAATTCCAGAGCGAAACACCCACCTCTTTACCCGTAGTGAGGAGGAGGGAGTCATCTAGGTTCATGTCCACACTAGTCATTTCTCCATCAAACTGAACCAGGCTGCTGACATATGATGATTTCAGGGATTGCGGATGATGCACAATGTGAGCCATTCGATTCCCTGTGCTCACGACCAGCTTCCTACCACTGCCTATATAGATGCAAAATAATTACAGACCTATTGATAAGTTGGATCACATGAGACATTTTGGCAGCTACCATACCTGAGAAACGTAACATGCGGATCGGAGCAGCAGAAATCTTGATGTGTTCATGTGGCTTCTCAGGAGGTGAGAGGTCTATACACTTAAGGATCATGGGTCGACGTATGTTCTCCATCGTCATGTACTTGGGACGTGTTCTCCATATTGGTCGATGGTCACCTACTTTTGAGGGACTTTGATCAGGTGAGGATAAGGCTGGGAAAGGCAACTGAGATTCACAGGATTTGCTGCGTCTGATGTTGATCTGTGGCTGAAACATCTTGTGATGCCTGGGTCCCTCTCTATAACCAGAGGACTTGATCTTCTTGTTGAATACAACAGGGAAGGACCTTGATCCTGATGGAGAGGGGAGACCACGGTTGGACTTGCTGCTTGTTGGAGTGGATGAATTTCTGGTGGGGGTGGGGCTCTCTTTTGGAGTTACATTCTTTTGCTTTGATCGCAGCAGGATGGAATTGGCATCCACAGGCAGCCTGTTAAAATTGGGTACGACAGTACTTTCATGTTGGATCACTGCAGTGAAGTTAATCATTGAATGAAAAGCAAGGTGTGAACAGACTGGCACTCACTGAGACAGAAGTGAAAGTGGTGAACTCTNTCCCAGGCTTCCTCAAATCATATAGGTACACCTTCAAGAAAGTAGTAAGAATAATTAGATTGTATTTGAAATGACATGGATGCATAAAAGTATACAAATTTCATACCATTGAATGATCAGAGCCAGAGGCCAAGTATGTTCCACAGGGGCTGAAGGCACACCGGGATGGACAGGTCCGATTTTCGTGGGCGGTGAACCAGGAAACGCAGTCTCTGGAACGTAGGTCCCACAGCTTGATTCCATCACAGACAGCAGAGGTGAGAAAGAGATCATGGAGGCCGGAATGCATTTCATATCGAGAGGATCCTGGCTGCAGGGTGAGGCAGTGCAGAGCTCTGCTGTGTGCATTTGCTATGAGACAGCTCCTTTTCCCGGCATTCAAGTCAATCACGTGGACAGATTTGTCAGAACACCCACAGAGTACCAAGTCTAGACAAATCTAAGTCAGGGAAAATGCACATCAATCCTGGCTCTCCTAGATTTGAAATGCAATTTCTGCACAGATGAATCTAATTGATCAATTTGGTGAATAAGAATTGCCCTTGTATGGAAATTCTTATCTAGTGACCTTCCTGATTGAGATAGCAGAAATTGAGCAAGTTGAAGCAAGTTTGAATGCAATGTTTTTCGGGCTTTTTCTGTATGGAGGGCGTTCCATTCGAAGATCATTCATGCAATAAAGAGAGCTTCTTGTCATGTTGTCCTTTGAAGTCCATTATCATTTCATGCATTACATGGTAAGGAAGTCCTCTATTCCACACATGTGGATAACTTTTGTACTTGAGGAAAAAAGCACAAAACATTTTAACCAAGCAAGAAACCGGTCAAAATATAGCACACTTAAAATGAAAACTTCATCCAAAAAGGTTGTATCTAGCTCTGAAGAATGAAAAACCACTGGGAAATAGCCTGATAGAGATGAACCTAAGCATGTACTTAGCACTGAGTTTGATGTAAAAGAGATTTCTATTGCCCAGAAAGTATCTACTCAGCAAACACTATTTGGAAAGGATACAAGAATGGAAGGTGTTGATCCCACTCATGCATGTTATATTTTGACATGGCAGGTCAAATGACTTGAGAAGCCCATATTTGCCTCTTGGTGCATATCTTGGAAAAGAAAATGGGCATGAAGTTCCTGTAAAATTGGTCATAGACACCAGAGTGTAATAGAGTAAGCTTACCGTCTGATATCATCAATATTTGTGTTTATAGCAAATGAGAAGACATGAAGAGTGCTCCTGACAGCTGCAAGAATGATCTTGTCCATGTAGAAGAAGCGTGCATCAGTCACATCTGTGGGTCGACTTCCCCCCATGCCCAGGTCCTTGATGACGAACATGGTCTGCCGCTTCCTCCAATTCCAGAGCGAAACACCCACCTCTTTACCCGTAGTGAGGAGGAGGGAGTCATCTAGGTTCATGTCCACACTAGTCATTTCTCCATCAAACTGAACCAGGCTGCTGACATATGATGATTTCAGGGATTGCGGATGATGCACAATGTGAGCCATTCGATTCCCTGTGCTCACGACCAGCTTCCTACCACTGCCTATATAGATGCAAAATAATTACAGACCTATTGATAAGTTGGATCACATGAGACATTTTGGCAGCTACCATACCTGAGAAACGTAACATGCGGATCGGAGCAGCAGAAATCTTGATGTGTTCATGTGGCTTCTCAGGAGGTGAGAGGTCTATACACTTAAGGATCATGGGTCGACGTATGTTCTCCATCGTCATGTACTTGGGACGTGTTCTCCATATTGGTCGATGGTCACCTACTTTTGAGGGACTTTGATCAGGTGAGGATAAGGCTGGGAAAGGCAACTGAGATTCACAGGATTTGCTGCGTCTGATGTTGATCTGTGGCTGAAACATCTTGTGATGCCTGGGTCCCTCTCTATAACCAGAGGACTTGATCTTCTTGTTGAATACAACAGGGAAGGACCTTGATCCTGATGGAGAGGGGAGACCACGGTTGGACTTGCTGCTTGTTGGAGTGGATGAATTTCTGGTGGGGGTGGGGCTCTCTTTTGGAGTTACATTCTTTTGCTTTGATCGCAGCAGGATGGAATTGGCATCCACAGGCAGCCTGTTAAAATTGGGTACGACAGTACTTTCATGTTGGATCACTGCAGTGAAGTTAATCATTGAATGAAAAGCAAGGTGTGAACAGACTGGCACTCACTGAGACAGAAGTGAAAGTGGTGAACTCTGATAAGTATCACACACACAGTTGGATGGGGCCTCTCCTTCACAGGCCCAGGTGAACTCCAGGAAGTGGAGAGAATCTGTGAACATCTCTCGAACCATAACATCTAGTCGTCCAGTCTCCACCAAATTCAGATTCACCTCCGAGGCATAAGCCACCTTTGTCTCCTCATTATGGAATATTTCTGTGGTAAAAAAGTAAGGTTACATGAAAAACACATTGGCAAATTTTATATGAGTAAAAAAAGAAGCCATCCAAGAATAGACAACAACAACTTTTCAGATAGATGGTAGAACCTTACCCAAACTCATGAACCAAAATTCAATTTGATCAAACTTGCATAGTAATATTTCTCAAAATAATGATGAAAATCACTCCATAAAAGAGAAAGGAGGTCAAATGATTTCAACAAAGGGCCATGACAAAGTATGTGTCACCCACACATAAAAACCATGAAAGTCATACCAAACTCAATTATAATCAATGAGTTGCAGTGTCCATATACACACATTGTCATGCAGTTTGCTCATATCCTACTAAAATGAAATATCCATTTATGCATTTCCATGCCATGTTGTGCATAGTTGAGGATGTGAAAGGGAGTAACAATAACCAGTCATGTGAAAAAAATATAGAAGAACTGTGCGTGAAAATCTACATCTTGGGCTATAAAAAAAAAAAAGGAAGAAGGTATGCCTGTGATATAGATACACCACCAGCAAGCACTTTAGCTGCATGTCATACCCAAGTAGTTACTGTAGGAGAGAATCTGCCAAGATTTTGTCTCCAGAATCAGGATTCCTGTTGTTGTTGCAATCACAAGTGCAGGGGCAGGCTTTAGGATAGCCCTGCATCATAAACAAATATCCAGATCACCACTCTGTTGAGTCAATGCCAACAGCAACAATACTACTAGCAGTCAATGCCAATAACTAATAAAATAAAATGAAATCAATAATTAAACATACTCATCACATAGATGCAAATTCAGCATCAATGCTGTGAAAGGATTAGTGTCTATCAGAATGTGTTTGTGATGTGTTTGATGATCACAGATTTACAAGTGATCAACTCCACCTCCAAAAATCTGTACAATAGCACTCTTTTCCTCTGTGCAAAACTCTTTTTTTTTTTTTATTGGAGGTAAAGTGCAGAAGGCTTTGCAAGGAAAAAAAAGAGTTTATATTTCACAAGGTGAAGTCAATCACCCTGAAAAGTCTATGGCCAGCATATGCTGAATAAACACATTCCAATTGGCATATGTTAGCACACAAGGCATTGAAATTGCAAATGAGACAAATTTATTAAGATACATTTGGCTTCTGTACTAATAGCTAATAAACTCAAGACTAGCAGAGCATTCCATATACAACAATAGCTGCTTGAAATAAAAGCATTATCCATCATTTTAATAGATTTCTGAAACTTTTACTAAGCAGCGAGATACTTCCATAGATGTGGTTGGTGTACATATGTATTCCTGTGGGTTTCTCCATTATAAGCATTTTGAATTCATATGAAACATACTGACATAAACAGAAATTCTCACCTGAGAAGGGAGCAGTCAGCAATATCTTTGTTACAACACTCTTGAACTTCTGAGGTTTTGAGGTAGGGCAAATCACTGAAGGTCAGGGCAAGAATGCGGCATTCTATGAGGAGATTCTCAGTTTCTTCATCACTGCCTTCCAGACTATTCAGGCTGATCTGATCTGCAGGAGAATGAATGAATGAATTAAATTTCCTAAAAAACTCAACTGAGGATTCTTTGAGACTCCATCAATGGAATTTATTAGTGAAGAAGGTGCTTACCCGCTTTACCTTCCAGAAAACTTCTTCGCAGTCTCTCCTCATGAAGAGTGATGATTGGTCTAACAATGACTTTGTCTCTGAAGAGGACACTGAAGGTGTAAATATATCCTCCAGCACAACCAACTGCTAATCTCCCATGTTTTGTGTCATAAGCAAGACTGACCAGAGGATGTACACCCAAAGCAGGAGACTCATAAATCATTTCCAGGTTCCCAAGATCCCAAATCTGCAAGTCAGTCCAAAACCCTTTTTCAGCAATGGTGCAGATTATGTATAACCAAATATTATAATGAATGTTGAGTTAACTACAAAACACAAATTCAAAGAATTCCCTTCAAACTCACAACAAATGTCCTGTCTTCACTGGCAGTCACGACAATATCTGCTGCTATGAAGGCCACATCTGTCACAGGTCCACTGTGTTCTTGGAGATATGTATACAACTTCCGGAGCTTTATAAATATCAAGAATAGGTAAGACACAGTTTCAATTATTTTGGCTACTATTCCACAACTTTTACTAAAATTATTGAATTCCTCTATTCTTACCTGCAAATCAACAATGTAAACATCATGCCCCAAAACCAAGGCAAGCCATGAGTCCATTGGATCAAACCGACATAGAGAAACAGGTTCTCCAAATGGTGTCCCAGGAAGCTCAAACTTCAACTCGTATTCATCATCTAAAGAAATGCAAGTCGATAAGAGAATTCATGGAACATGTAACCAAGATCTATGACAACATAAAATAAGAACAGCATTGCATACAATGTAATTCGAAAAATAAAAATACTGCTTAATATGCAGAATAAACAAATATATAAAAATGAGCACCCCCTCTAATTCATGAGTGGTCAGTCACTTCATGTTTCAATGCAGTTTAGAATTTCAGGCTGTGAATATGAGAAATGCCTAATCATTGGAAAGCTCTCATAATTATCATTAACTGTGAATACAGCAGGTCATCTTTTGCAAGAGTCTATGAAGAGCAAAAGCTCAAAGAGACCTGCTGCTTCTTAGAAATGTAGCATAGAGAATGAAAGAGAAACAGTGTGGATTGTATCATCAAGCAAATTGCAAGGGAACTGATGGAGCTGTGAAACAAAGAGCCAATGATAATGAGCTCTTTAAGTAGTTAGCCAATACTTAGTATGAGGACCAAATTGGAAAATATACTATTTTCTATTGGAAAATATACTTTTTGTGTTCCACTCTCCCAGTTGTAATGTGTGAGAAGGTATAACTGCTAAAACCTGGCATTCCTGCAAATAAATGTCCATAAATATATAGAAAAGACACTGGAGTAATGCTGTGTTGATATAGAGGACAGGAAAGAACTTTCATTGAATATTTATCAAATAAATTCTTGCTATTAACATCATTTCTATTTTGTTCAAGACAAAAATTATAGGCCATGGTTCAGACTGACTAGGTGATAGCCAATAAGCATTTAATAAGACAACCAAAATTTGAAGTCAACTTCATGATGCAAGAAACCTTGATGCATTAACTTTAGAGAGTAACAGTAGGATTAGTAACTTTCATTCTGATGAAACTATGAAAATAGTAGAATAAAAAAAATGTGTACCTTAATATATATTAAAGTGAATTGAGGGTACAGGGATAAATGAATTGTTTCAACAGAAAGTAGTTCAGCAAAATCAATCCATAATTTTACAATAAAATAATTTCATCACTGACCTAAATATACGCAGCTCCACAGGATACTTCATGCATAACCTATTAGTCCAATGAAGTCATTCAGGCAACCCTAAATATTCTGCTCTCGCCCATTTTTTCTTCCCAACTTCTTTTACCTTCTATTGCAATCTATGGAACTTTCTTTTTCTCTTCACTCCTCTATTGTTTCAGGATTACATGGAATGCATTTACTCATTTATTCATGGTAACAGGCAAGTCACAGGAAATGCATGACACTGTGGGTGAAATGGAGGATGTGACTGCATTCTAAGCAGGTTGTTACCTTCAGTACCCAATGCAATGACCTCACAAACATACAGAATAAGTGTAACACAAACCCTCTTTACATGTTCATAACAAAGAGATCTCTCTTCCTCACATACCAATCCAAGCAAACTAACCTTGGTATTGGGAGAAAGGGGGGGGGGGGGGGGGAGGGAAAGCAGGGTGAGAAAATTTNGAATCAGGATTCCTGTTGTTGTTGCAATCACAAGTGCAGGGGCAGGCTTTAGGATAGCCCTGCATCATAAACAAATATCCAGATCACCACTCTGTTGAGTCAATGCCAACAGCAACAATACTACTAGCAGTAAATGCCAATAACTAATAAAATCAAATCAAATCAATAATTGAACATACTCATCACATAGATGCAAATTCAGCATCAATGCTGTGTAAGGATTAGTGTCTTATCGGAATGTGTTCGTGATATGTTTGATGATCACAGATGAGTGATCAACTCCACCTCCAAAAATCTGCACAATAGCACTCTTTTCCTCCATGCAAAACTCTATTTTTTTTGGAGGTAAAGTGCAGAAGGCTTTGCAAGGAAAAAGAAGAGTTTAGATTTCACAAGGTGAAGTCAATCACCCTGAAAAGTCTATGGTCAGCATATGCAGAATAAACACATTCCAATTGGCATATGTTTGCACACAAGGCACTGAAATTACAATGTGACAAATTTATTAAGATAATTTTGGCTTCTGTACTAATAACCAATAAACTCAAGACTAGCAGAGCTTTCCATATACAATAATAGCTGTTTGAAATAAAAGCATTATCCATCATTTTCATAGATTCCTGAAACTTTTACTAAGCAGCAAGATACTTCCACAGATGTGGTTGGTGTACATATGTATTTCTGTGGATTTCTCCATTATGAGCATCTTGAATTCAAATGAATTCATATGAAACATATTGACATGAACAGAAATTCTCACCTGAGAAGGGAGCAGTCAGCAATATCTTTGTTACAACACTCTTGAACTTCAGAGGTTTTGAGGTAGGGCAAATCACTGAAGGTCAGGGCAAGAATGCGGCATTCTATGAGGAGATTCTCAGTTTCTTCATCACTGCCTTCCAGACTATTCAAGCTGATCTGATCTGCAGTAGAAGGAATGAATGAAATTTCCCAAAAAACTCAACTGAGGATTCTTTGAGACTCCATCAATGGAATTTATTAGTGAAGAAGGTGCTTACCCGCTTTACCTTCCAGAAAACTTCTTCGCAGTCTCTCCTCATGAAGAGTGATGATTGGTCTAACAATGACTTTGTCTCTGAAGAGGACACTGAAGGTGTAAATATATCCTCCAGCACACCCAACTGCTAATCTTCCATGTTTTGTGTCATAAGCAAGACTGACCAGGGGATGTACACCCAAAGCAGGAGACTCATAAATCATTTCCAGGTTCCCAAGATCCCAAATCTGCAAGTCAGTCAAAAACCCCTTTTCAGCAATGGTGCAGATTAAGCATAACCAAATATTATAATGAATGTTAACTACAAAACACAAATTCAAAGAATTCTCTTCATACTCACAACAAATGTCCTGTCTTCACTGGCAGTCACAACAATATCTGCTGCTATGAAGGCTACATCTGTCACAGGTCCACTGTGTTCTTGGAGATATGTATACAACTTCCGGAGCTTTATAAATATTAAGAATAGGTAAGACACAGTTTCAATTATTTTGGCTACTATTCCATAACTTTTACTAAATTATTGAATTCCTCTATTCTTACCTGCAAATCAACAATGTAAACATCATGCCCCAAAACCAAGGCAAGCCATGAGTCCATTGGATCAAACCGACATAAAGAAACAGGTTCTCCAAATGGTGTCCCCGGAAGCTCAAACTTCAACTCGTATTCATCATCTAATGAAATGCAAGTAAATAAGAGAATTCATGGAACATGTAACCAAGATCTATGACAACATAAAATAAGAACAGCATTGAATACAATGTAATTAGAAAAACAAAAATACTACTTAACAAGCAGAGTAAACAAATATATAAAAATGAGCACTCCCTCTAATTCATGAGTGGTCAGTCACTTCATGTTTCAATGCAATTTAGAATTTTACGCTGTGAATATGAGAAATGCCTAATCATTGGAAAGCTCTCATAATTATCATTAACTGTGAATGATAATTACGAGACTACCCTGGCTACCCTAAAATATTCTGCTCTTGCCCATTTTTTTCTTCCCCACTTCTTTTACCTTCTATTGCAACCTATGGAACTTTCTTTTTTCTCTTCGCTCCTCTATTGTTTTTGGATTACATGGAATGCATTTACTCATTTATTCATGGTAACAGGGCAAGTCACAGGAAATGCATGGCACTGTGGGTGGAATGGAGGATGAGACTGCATTCTAAGCAGGTTGGTACCTTCAGTACCCAAAGCAGTGACTTCTCACAAATATACAGAATAGGTGAAACCCAAACCCTCTTTACATGTTCATGATGAAGAGATCTCTCTTCCTCACATGCCAATCCAAGCAAACTAACCTTGGTATTGGGAGGAAGGGGTGAGGGGGGGCGAAGGGAAAGCAGGGTGAGAAAATGTTTACATTACATGTATCTACTTGTTCAACGCACCTTTGCCTTTCAGCCATATGATGATATTATCCTCACTGCACGTGCAGAGATGGCAGGACCCATTTTTAGCACACAGTTTGATAGCTGTAATGGGCCTCTTGTGAAAGTTTTTGAACTTCTGTGCCTGCAATCATTATGGAAATGTGCAGGTTAGGCCAAAGCATTAGGAAAAGATATCGTAAATTAGGCTCAGATCGAAATTCAATTTTATGCTTGCACAAATAGTACCTCCTTACCTTTGGAATGCTTCCAGCAGCTTTAAGGTACACGGCCTCAAGCGATCCACGCCCATGACCGAAAACGATGTTGCTATGATGAAAGTCGCAACTCCTAGCCTTCTCCTTGTGCATCAAAATTTTCCATGATTTCTGTACCTGTCTCATGTTGATGGACGGAAATCCGGGAAATAAAATAGAAGTTCAGAAACCCATGGACAAGCAGCTGGTCCCAGGTCCAACGCTTGTATGATCTTGTGCCAGAACCATCCTATGACAACAACCACGTGCTACTGATGCGATCGGAGGAGGCCGCCATCGATCCGGATAGCAGTTGTATGAAATATTCATTTCTACAGATGGATATCTCATCACTTATTTTTCCAATGGCCTAAATAGTAAAATTTTATGACTAATAACATAATTTGGATTCATAAAAATATTAAAGAAACCTATCCGCATTTCGCTTCCTGAGTTGACAGCGAATATAAAAAGGACGCACAGGTTCTGACATCGCTGGCTTGTGGTATTGTCAATATGGCTGCGCACTGTTTATAAAGTGGCCAATGGCATGGATGCGGCACGAGGGGCTTGGCAGGCCTGTTGGCTATAACCTCCTCAGTACCTGTCCGGCGACTAGACGACTTTTGGCTCAACTTCGAGTGGCTGGCAAAAATGCGCTGATGCTTTGATGTGACAGTAGCGCAGGGGAACTTAAGACACATTCATCTAATTGAATAAGCGGTTCATATGCGAAATTTTACTCAGGGTGGTCGAAAAACCCTGGACCCCGCAGCAAACGATAAAATACCCAATACTGGCGCATGAGAGAAAATTGTATTACATTGAAATTGTATACAAAACTTGATGCAGGAGCTCTCAGGTTTCATTACCATGGTGTATAAGTTGATTTACATCATGAGTGGTGAAAATCACTTCATCTGGCATGTTGAGGAAGCCTGGGAAGTCCTAGATCTGTCTGAAATAAGCACAGCAACTGATCAATTCAGAATTGCAATATGCAATTAACAATATGGTGGCTAAATGTGAAAATTTGCAATTACTACTGGTGAATTTACTTACATTGAATTATACTTGCTGAGAAATAGCATAGCTATGCATGTAGACACACCTGTAATACAACTTTATTTCATCCAATTATATTGGACATTTTATTGTTTGATTTGAGGCTCAAGATTTTGGGCTTTTGGAGTGCCTGGTTATAAACATATTTTTATGCTTTGGATTATTTCATTATCAGGAGGTTCTCTTCCCTCTCCCTCTATTCTTCATTCATCCAATTTTTATTTCTTGAAGGCTGTCTTAGAAGGTATCTTTTGAATGTTCCCAAGCAATTGAAAGCAATGGTTGCTTACCTGATGCTGAAAGCTGCCTCTAACAAAACGAGTTTGATGTGATTGCTATATGATTTTGTGAATTCAAGAAGAGAGGCCAAAAAGATTTTTCCTCCACTTTTGTGCCACAGAAAATCTTGAACTTGAACCATTGATTCCATATACCAACAGACATCATAAGAGGAACTAGGGAAGGCAAGCCCACAAGATGCCCTTATATGAAGGCATTGGTTTGATAAGTGAAAGACCACCAGTAATCCTAGAAATTGGTTCAGCATACACAAAGTAAGTGCACCTCTTAGTTCTGCCTTTATTATGCTAAGTACACCTACTATGCCATTCTAATGAGGCCTTAATGCATTGATCTTCATTTGAGTTTGTCTTTTAATACTATAATATGGATTTCTCTGTTGATTATGGATATTTTTTTAAGTAAATGGTGATTAGAAGCTCATTCTGGATCAAGCTTGTTGGACTCTGAAAGAGGGCCAAAATCATTTGAAGAGCAGTATGTTTGTTTCTCAAATTTCTCCTGCTCAGGGCAAAATCATAATTACTGGTTTCCCTTTGATAATGTGGGATCAAGTAGGAGAGGAAGACAGCTGGGGAAGAAAAAAATGCAAAATACAAGACAATGAATTTAGGTCCTGGAAATGTGCCCATTTCCAAAAGCACATATTTTATATTTTGCATAAAAATGAGGGAATTTGTGGTCCCTGGTAAAAAGAAATTTCATCTTTGGTGAGATCCTGGGTGGTCAAACCTGTTGTTGAGATGTGGAGAAATATCTCATCTCCAGTTTTATAGCCAACCATTTCATCCTTGTAATTGCTCTGATATACTCATGTACTGCCACTCTACAGAAAGTTAAGAATCAGATAGATTTTAGAGTTGTCACATGGTAGGGTAGAATCTAGATCCTTGGAGTGATAAGAAGAGTAGGGACAATGTTGTAACGTAATATAATTGAGATTGTTAGAAAAGATGCAGTAAGTTCTAATCCAATACAATAAAAGTATGAAGTCTCGAAAAGAAACTGAGTATTGAATGACCTGTTGATTGTAGTGTGATGTGGTGTCATAATTATGGCAAATGGTGTAATTGTAGGACCCACTGATAAATGCTGACTCCACTTCAAATACTTCTGCAGGGTTGGTGTTGCTGGGGAGCCACATCCACATGCAATAGTTCCAAGTGGTATTTTTTCCAAGAAATCTCGAGAATTCAAGAGTCTTTCCCTTTTCACCAGTGATGACATTCTCCTATATGATACATTATGCGAATTCCTGGATATCTTGTATTTCAAGTGAGTTTGCCCAATGCTTGAAATTAGTTCATTTGAGGAAATTTATGAAAGTATTTGTTGACCTTTTTCTTTCAGGCATCTCTTGGTGAATCCAAAAGAGAGGAATGTTGTGATTGTTGAATCTCCATTCACGACTTCGCAGTTCAGAAATTCCTTAGCCAAAGTGCTTTTCTGCCACTTTGATATATCCACTGTCCTCTATGTCTGCTCACATGTAGCAGCACTTTTCACCTGTGCCATTTCAACTGGACTAATAATAGATGTTGGATATGAAGAAGCAACTATCCTCCCTGTATATGAAGGCTATCCACTTCTTCATGCTTGGCAATCATCACCTAATGCTGGAAAGGCAATTCACTTGTAAGAACTGAAGCAAGCATCTTTTTCTTTCACTTCTTCATAGCTTGTTTTTTTAAAGAGCATGCCTGACATGTACCCTCTGACTGTTCATTTCTGAATTCTAGAGCTTTAAAGAATGATCTCACTGAGAGATGTATGGTCAGGACTCCATCCAGGGAAGAGAAACCCCTGGTCAAAGTCAGAGAAGTCCTGAGTGAAACGATGCTTGAAGACATCAAAGGTAGAACTGCATCAAGTCAATTGAGTGTATGTGAGTGACTTGCATCTTCGTAATGCTGACTGTGATGATGATTGTGTTTTCATTCTCGTAGTGAGGACCTGCATGGTTTCACCCATGGAAAGAATGAGGAAATTGAGAGCTGCAAATGAGGATCCAAATCAAGATGCTCCTCCTCCACCTCCAAATGTGGAATATCCACTAGATAATGATCACATGCTACTCATCAAAGGCAGAATTAGAGAGACAGCTTGTGAAGTGATCTTTGAGAAGAATGAAGATTACAAGACTCTTGCCAACTTGATTATGGAAGCCTTGATTGCAGTGAGTTGCACGGCAATGGGGATTTGCATGTATGCCTCATGGGGAATTTTCCTGTCATTTAACATTCTCTGTTGTTTAGTGTCCAGTGGACACTCGGAAAATTTTGGCAGAGAATATCTTCATGATTGGAGGTTCAGCTATGTTGCCTGGCTTCAAGCATCGGCTCCTGGACGAAATCAAAACCACAGCCAATTCAGATGGATACAAGGACAAGGTCTTCCTCTCCTCTTTCAAAGTGCATCTTCCTCCTGCTAAAGACAATTATGTCTCATGGCTTGGTGGTATGTTCTCTTTCTGCTCACTTGGTCACTCAGTTACTAATATTTGGATAGCTCTTCATATACTGTAGGCTTACTAATACAGAGAATTGCTTTCAAGGCAATGTGTTAAAAATATTCTTTCATGATAATCAGATTCATTTTTCCAAACAGGTTCAATCATTGGAGCAACAGAAGAAGTTGTGTTGCGGGGACTGACCAAGGAGACTTACCTTAAACTGAATTGTGTTCCTGATTGGTCAGATGGACGACAGGAACGTAAAAATCCATCCAAAGCATAGTGATTCCTTTTTATAAATTGTGATTGAATGAGTTCTGAGATAAATGCCAAATTTTAAATTAATAAATGCTTATGTGACAAGAAATTATATTTTCTCTAGTACTGATGGGAAAAATTTTTCATTGCTAAATCATTGGAAGCCAGGAGGATTCTTGCACAACATATTGGTTCAAACCAGTGAATATGAATGGTGAAGAAACAGTTGCATTGATAAGATTAAGATCAAAGCATGACATGACATTGTGGCTGCCAGCTGTAACGAACTATGTGCCTTGCCTAAACACAAGATAGCCTCTGGGCTACACTTAGAAACTTGCATTAAAATAGTTTTAACAAGAATAAAAATACTCAGCACCTTGATAAATGCACCATTCTGAAATTATTGTTATGAAAGAGTTCAGGAAGATGAAAAAGACTGCCTGACAGGGAACTCCATTCATGGATGAATACACATTTTTACCACTTGTATCACAAGGCCAATATTCCTTATCTGAAAGCTAACTCTTTTTCAAAACCTTGTTTAGAAAAATGAAAATGCCTTTTGGAGGGAGGGTGACCATATGCATGTTGCCCGCATGAAGATACAACACCTCCATTTCCTTATCATAAAAAGGAACTTTGACTTGGTGATTTGATATTATATTTCTTAGTGTCTTCAATTCTTGATGACATGTAAAAGTGTTCAAGTCCTGCTTTCATAAAGACATGTTCATCATTAATGCATCACTTAGAAATGCTAGTAATGCCATTGTATACAACTTGATATCATCAAAAATACAGATTACGCAGTAGCTTCAATAATTCTCGTGTGAAATCATGCCATCCATACCAACACATCCTACCTGGGGCCATATATTATGCTTGGCTTGTTTCATGTTCAGAGTTTATCTTTTTGATCTCTGATTTTACTTCATGTACATGTGCATTAGGTGAAATGAGATAGAGAAAAAATTCCAGTTGTCTAAATCATTAATTTTGAATTTTTATTATGTTGCAGGTATTTTTCAAGTGCATTTATTTTTCAGCACATTTATCCCCATGTCGAACCACCAAGAAATCAGGCGAAGAAGGGTCCGTTCTTGCTTCCATTTTCTTTTAGTTCCTGATATGAGTAGATCTGAATGTGCTGCTAAAAGAAAAATGAAAACTCCTACATGAGAACAGTGGTATCAATTTATGTGTGGCCCCCATTACTATTTCCTAGTGTCTACCACTTGCAGTAAATAACAGTCACCAGGTGACTACTTCTACATTTAAATTGATTATTGCAAGATTGATGAATTCTGCAGTCCAAGAAATAAAGTGTTACTGATTTGCTTTCAGTTCTCATCTGTGCAAGGTGTATACTATATGACTTTGGAATGCCTTTGTGACATGTTCAGATTCAAGATTCTTTTGCAAATTGCCTACAGTGGAAATGTTCAGAACTTTCAGCACTGTGGAGTGTCCTTACTACCAGTACATATTTCACAAATTCCCTCATAAGATACCTGAAGCAATGGAGGGAAGGGATGTGCAACTTTTTGTCATTTCCTGATTATGAACAGCTCTCATGAATTTCTTTCAATATTCTACTAATGGGTCTGCTGAATGGGTATTAAAATTGAGGTGAATACTGTGATGAATTTTCTAACCACTAAAGGTTCTATCTTCCAAGACTCTTTCAAGGTTAGACAATTTATCATAGCATTCATCTCAATTTTAGTATCCCTTCAGAAGACCCTTTGGTAGCACGTTGAAAAAAACTCAGAAAAGCTGTCTGTCATCAACAAATAAGATGAAATTTTACCAGTCACCATCAAAGACATCTGTCTTCCCATGAGAAAAGTAAGAATGATGCATTACAACTGGAAGTGCCTCAGGCTGGGAACTTTTTGATCACCCCCTGTAAGTACATAGCATTCTTGATCTTTTCACTTCAAGGAATAAGCAACATTGTGTTTTGGATCGGCTTACTTTTTAACAAAATTTGGTCCATGGGAGTCTTATTTATGTTCCAAAATCTGAAAGAGGGTGTTGAAACAAATTCTAATGAATGCCCTTTAGCAGGCACAGCTAGTTCTGCATGAGTATGTTTGAAGATATCAGGTGAAGAGGTACAGTCAACCCTCAATACAGAGTGGGCCAAGAAAATAAAAGACAGTTTTCAATGATATGCTATACTGCACTCAGTGCATATATTTTAATGCAGTTTGCAGCATTTGAAAGAGGAATGACTAAGCTTTAACATGGTATACTTGCATTTCAAATATTATCAACAGTTTCAGAAATTCTGAAGCTCATATAACTACAAACAAAAACTGTGTTGTTTTTGTAGCAGAGGGGATGGACAGGCGGGGGCTGAAGGTCAGATGTTGTCTGCATCCAAGTGCGTGACAATGCAGTTTTGTTTGTGTCTCATATGAGCTCCTGAATTTCTAAAATTGTTGAATATATTTCAAATATAAGTAAACCACTTCAAAGCTGATACATTCCTCTTTCAAATGCTACAAACAGCATTAAAAATATGCAGTGAGTGAAGTGTAGGTTAACATAGACATTAGTCCAGTTATCTTTGGCTCACCCTGTATATTGCCACTTGCTCATTGTCAACTCTTTCCTGAGGACAAATTTTCCCCAAAAGCATATCATAGGTGCTTCCCCCACCCTTGCAAGCTGCCATCTGGCAACACCATAATTGGTACAAACATACAGTATCCTGCATAAATCCTTCTCAATTTTGTGCCAAGTAGCATATGTGCCACAACCCTTATCCATTACTTAACAGTCGCATGTATATTGTCACTGCAGGAGGTGACCCGTAGCTCAGGAATTAATAGTGAATATGACTAAGTATCTGAGAATAATAGGATTACAATATAAGCTTCACGTCCATTTAATCAAATTGAGCAACAGAGGTTTTGGCATAATGACTAGCATATTGTGGGTCCTTCAAAATGCTAAAATTGGTGGCAATCAACAGTAGTATTATTTCAAGGGTTCACTGTAACATTACAAAGCAGCATTAAACCTTTCAGTCCTGCAGGGACTATGGAATCCCACATTTTCTTCGTATATGTTATACTTAGGAATGCATGACCTTGAAGCCATGGCAGGATTCTAAATCCCTGTTAATAGTAGTTCATCACATGTTATCAAGATGACAGCAGTCCACAGTAATATAAAGCTGCTGCTTTATATTACTGTGGACTGTGTGTATTTCCTCTGGCACTTCAAAAATGGTGTCATCATTTATATTTATTTCAGTTAAGACATTTCTTTCTGAGCCAATATTTTCTATGTTTTTTCAAGCTAGATAATGGAAAGTAATGCAGAAATACTGGGAAACATACAATGTAAAACAGGGATATGAATACTAACTAACTGAAGTAGTGTAATAGCATGATTTTATCAATTTATTAAATTTCTTGATGTAATTGAAATGGATATTTAATTTTACTTGAATAAACCTTTTTGAAAACACTTTTATTTTATATATTAGGCTTGTTGTTGCCTAAAAAGTAAGCAACACTTCTTCCTTGTCTTCAACATAATTCAGGACTGAAAGGGTTAAAATATTAGGGCCAGTCATCTGAAAACAGCAAAACTGGCTCTAAAGCTATATGGATGACACATCTTCATGATATCATGTATAAATCTTAGGTACACTGGAGAAATATTGAAAATATAATTGGCATCACTGCTTTTGGAAGATTACATATGCTGTAATTTGATAAATATGACTCCCTCCATTGTAGGGGCATCCAAGGAACATCAGAGGGCTTCAATAGTTTTTGTAGATGAGTATAGAATAGGGCAACATTTTTCATGGCAGATGCCTCTATGTTGAGGACAAATTCAGACCCAAGATGGGCCAATGGTGTCATCAGGATGACATTGCAAAGTTGGACAAGGTGATTAAAGCAAACAGATACATGTTTTGGATACCATATTTTTAAAAAGTGAGGATTAACCATGGCTCAAAGCTCATTGTCATCCCAGATCATCTCCAGTACTATTTGGGGTGTCAATTGGGCACCAAAGTGCCTGATCAAAGACCAGAGGTTCTGCACATCTGCAGCATGACCAAGCTGATAGGGACAACTTTTTGGCCAGAATCATGGCATATGATGAAACCTGGTGTCATCTTGACAATGAAGGTGAGGAGAATGTTGAGGGGCCACTTGGACAATGCCATTGTAAAGGCAGTGAGAATATGATGCCACCAGATGCCAAAAATCAGGTTGAGCAGATGGACAAGCATCTTGATGCCTGTGGGGAGTATTTCCAATAAACACTGTATCCACAACTACAAAATAAATAAATTGCTGCTTTCATCTGACTGGCCTTGTAACAAACATCACATAGCCAAGTCTAGAATATTTAGCCTGGTCGTATTCATGATCAGCTGAGTTAGGTTTCTCAAGGAGATATAAAACCAGATCTAGAACAAAATGAGATGTGCAAGTCAGGAGCTGCATCATGATGATAACATGATTGGCAATTGACTTCACAAAGACATGATCTGAAACTTGGGGAATGAATTTTACAGTCTGAGGATACCAGTGTGGTTGCTACAGAAGGACTCTTTTCAATATGGATGGAGAGAAAAATATAACCTTAGAAAGCAGAACTTTACAACAGAACAGTGTTGATGGTCTTTCTTCTGATCTGAATACCCAGTCCAATACGGGTGAGCGGGCAAAGCTGAAGAAGCAAGGTTCATCAAGAAGCACATTCTCTGTTCGTTTTGTGACTCTCCGAGCTGCATTATGTATTGCTGGCACTGCTTCCTTCTATGTGCTTTTCATGGGTGAGAGATACATGGATATGTTCATATATCACTGAACTGAGTTCTTGTTTGTTTCAGCAAGCACCTTGCATGAATCATTATTATCTTGTTACAACTTGTTTACAGTCCTTCTTCATACACTGGGACCTGAGTCTACAAGGAAACATGCAGCTGACACTTTGGATTCCCTGTCGTACAAGCTGTCCCTTCAGAAGAGATTTCATGCTGTGATAATGGATGCTGGCAGCACAGGAAGCCGTGTCCTTGCCTTTACCTTTCATCGATCTCTTATGGGTGAGCCTATCATGACCTTAACCTTTTTGCTCATCCCATACGCGATTAGGCATGGTGACAGAAAACAGTTTTCAATTACTTTTCAATTACTTCATCCATTAATTCATTAATGACGCGTTTGCCCTTCAGCAAGGGTTCCATGTAATGGTGTGCACAGAAAAACTGATTTAAAATATATATTGGAATGAAAAGTTTATTTGCATATTGGGTGAGATTAAATATTTCATTGCAAAAACAACCAAGAAAGTAGGCTTGACAGAATTCATGACCAAAAGGGTTAATGCAGGAACTGCTTTAGATGTATGAAATTATATTCCCTGACTGTTCTTAATTTTTAGATGGGACACTCAAGATAGATGATGAATTGTTTGGAGAGGTGAAACCTGGGCTATCATCATATGCAGATGCCCCTGCGAAGGTGAATATAGCAAAAAGGATTTTCAAGATATGAAGTAAGATTTCTGAGAGTGTTCAGAGTAAACTTTAACTCATTATTCATATGAAGGGTGCTGAGAGTCTACAGCAACTCCTAGAGATGGCTAACTCAGTCATTCCAGAGCCAGAAAGACACAAGACTCCATTGGTCTTGAAAGCAACAGCAGGACTCAGGTTACTGCCTTCAGAAAAGGCTGAGAATCTTCTTAATGAGGTACACGATTTGCCCTTATCTTGAACTGCAATGAAGTATTGCTTGTCACATTGCAAATTATTTTTCTTGGCAAGGTGAGGGATCTATTCTACAAATCTGGGTATCAAGTGTCCAAGAATTCAGTCTCCATCATGGATGGCATGGATGAGGGCATCTACTCCTGGTTTACTATCAATTTCCTTCGTTGTAAGTGATTATTGTGAGCCAATTTGATAGGTTATTTTGCACTAGAGGCTTATTGATAAAACTCATCTGTACTTAGGACAATGATACATTATACCATCTGTATAGCACCTTTTTTGCTGCACACTAGCCCTGTAGTTATTACCATATTTGTGCTTTTGAACCATTTATTAGGGGTTTTTAATGCATAACATCTATTATTATTATCTATTATTAGGTTACCAATGGATTTTTATATTCAATGTTACCACCTCTAGTTCATGCCACTTTTCCTATGAACTTCTCAGTCCAATAATACAAATTTTCATGCTATTAATCTGCAAGCCCTTCAGTGACTTAGCCACAGCTGAAGTCGACTACATCTTAAATATCATGAAATATGTTTCCCCTCATTAATTCTTTTATGGCAGTAAAGACACATGGACTTAGGTCTGATTTGTATTGGGGATGTGTGAGGATCTCCTGGTTCCAGGATTTGACCAAGTTGACAATGCTTCACTTGCAATGAGATCCTGCAGTGTCAAGAAGCAGAATTGGCCTGGATTCTTGAAGATCTGGGTGCTTCATTCATATTGAACACAGTTTTTGTTAAAACACCCATGTACGATGGTCTCTATTCCTTGGGAGTACTACGTGCATGAGTGCTTCAAGAAAAAGTGCAGCCTGTCATCTGAAGGTCTGAAATTAGTACCCAGATCTTCTGGAATCCTGGTCAATTTTGCTTCATGACATTACAGGACATCACTGCAAGCAAACCATTGTCAACCTGGTTGAGTCACAGAATTAGGAGATCCTTGCACATACCCCAAACCAGACCTGAGTCAATGAGACCTTTTTCCTATTTCCTGCCATAAAAGAATCAATGAGAGGAGGCAGATTTCATGATGTCAAAGAGATTGATTCAGCCTATGGTCAAGTAATAAAGGGCTTGCAGCTTTATGGCCTAAAAATAGGTCTTCTTTTATTGAGAAATTGATGGGAAAAGGAACTGGAGGGGGGGTCATATTGAATGAACATGCAGTCACCTCTGATATTAAAGTAACATTCCTTTGGTAGCCTTGTGCAAGTTATTTAAAGAATGCCTCCCATATTGTGAGCTGTCCAGTATAGCTCTGTTCTGTTAAGTATTTATGGCAAGTGAAGTGGCATGCTCTTGGTCTGCTAAAAGTAGCACTCTATGAAAAGTATCATGGATATTATTTTTTTATAGGTAATGAAAGCCTTTTACTCTCTGAAGCATGTCCTGCATGAGATGCAAAAATATCCACTTTAAAGTGCAGCATCATTTTATTGCCCTATCTACAGCATTGTACTTGGTGTTCTAGAAAGGATGTCCAATGTTTGAACTATGATAACTTATTTAGGTTTCATGCTAATTGAATAGGATTTTCTTTACACTAGGAGAGACAAATATGTATATTGGGTTATATGGGAGGGATTCTAAGAGGCATGAACATTTTCTAAGTTAACATGGAAGAGAGTAACCTGTCAGGGAAATTAGCAGGTGGCAGTTATAGTGTAAGCAGTACTGTAGTAGTTAGCTAATACTTATAAAATAGAAAAGACACATACTGGTGTTTTGTTATATTACTGATTTGTGAAAAATAGGCTGTTTTGAGGTTGGAATCTTTGTGAAAGATTCTATAGGAAAGGGGTTAAGAGGTTTCTGTTTCAAGTTTCTAAATTTTATAAGTTTCAGTTTGCTCTAGTTTCATGCTTTCTTAATCTATTCTAAAATGAACAAACTACCTTGGATTTTGTTCATGCCACAGCACTACTGGATGAAAGCATTGATGAGACCGTAGCAGCCTTGGATCTGGGAGGAGGATCCACACAAATAACATTCGTTCCTCAAGATGCAGAAGTTTTTGCAGATGTCCCACAGGACTTTGTTGTATCTCTAAATGCCTTGAATAAGGAACTCAAATTCTATACATATAGGTAAGTATTTATGACTCACATACATCTAGCTCTTATTTTTTTAAACTAATAATTCATTCAATTTTTGGTTGGTATTGCAAGTGTTTCAAAGTCTTTTGTTCCTTTCCATTTTAAGAAGACTTACATCAATCTCACTAAATTTAGCAAGAATGTAGCTATCCCAAACACCACATCTCCTCTATATCCCCAATGCAGTGCCATCAATTAATTTTGTTGGAGGGGTTACTAATTTTTAATTTCCAACCTTCTGCAGAATATTGGTAATAACTTTAATATGAATAGTTTGACCAGCATTTTCAAACAGAAAAGGAAGGGAGGCAAACCTGATCTATGTCAAAATTTTGGGAAATTTGATCAAAACATTCCTGAGGTGAAGCAACTCTAAGTCTTTGGTATTTTTTTGCCATACTCTGCTTACACACAGGGAAATAAATTCTGTTTCAGCTACCTAGGACTGGGACTGATGGCAGCACGAGCAGAGATTTTTAAAGCAAACCTGACTGAAGATAATTTGGTTCGCAGCCCTTGTATATCTCCCATTGTGAAACAAGATTGGGAGTATGGAGGAGTTAGCTATAAGCTGATGTAAGTTCTTTAAGTCCTACTTTGTGGATATCCAACTGATCTTTCCACAATGATAACCTTGCTGTGTATGACTAACACAGGGGCCTTCAGAAACCGAAGTACAAGAAGTTTCGTGTGCTTGCCACTGGGAAAATGGATGAGAATAGACCCATTGCTGACTTCTATCAATGTATACAAATAGCCTCAAACCTCGTTCTCAAGAAGGTGCACAAGCCACCTGAGCTGAGCAAGCGAAAGATCAATGCCATATCATACTTCTATGACAGAGCTGTTGAATCTGGGCTGATACGTGAGTGATAAAGAGTATTACTTGGTACATTGCCTCTCAAAAGTCCTGCCACTTTTTATGAGGTTATTGTTTGAATTAGAGGAAGTAACTTGCAGGTCTTTTTTGGTGGAATGAAAAGGCTTCAGCTTTAATTCATCAAAATTATGTACTTCTCTCAAGTGTTTCCCTTCTCATCCAAGAGCATCAAAGATTAGTTGGCCTCTCATATTTCCTGTGTGCATGTTGATGACTGATTCCAAAAATACACAGAAAACTAACTCAGGTCACTTACAGATTGCTTAAAAGTTGTATTTTATTGGAAATTGCCCTACTAGAAAAAATTATTTCTTGCTGGTAGTCCAATAGTACTACAGGGAAATGCATGATTTTCTACATTCTTGATACAGGAACACCATGGCTGATATTTCTTTGTTTATCAGAGTTGGTTTTAAAATGTAGTCATTACTGCTGGTATGCCATACCTCCAAAAATGAGGAATTGCCTTTCTGCTGCTTTTTTATCGTTGACATGCAAAACACAATGGTTTTTTAAATATTGGAGAGCATGCTGTCCCAGTTTCTTAGTATATATATATATATATATATTCTTTAATATATATTTTATTAGTGGGTATTAGTGGGTATTTTAAAATTGTTTTTGCTCACTAATTGATCAATTTCTTTTGCATAAAAATGTATTTTTTCACTTCATTAGTTATAGACTTTTTTTTTAAAGAAATGCAGCCATGTTTAATGTGGCTCTAAAAGAAAAAAAAAAAGGAATCTGAGCTGTTAGCTACCTAATGCTAGCTGTCATTTTCTCTTTTGCTGAAAATGGACTTAAAAATGAGGCTGGACTTTTGAAAGGCAGTATGATTTGAATTACAGTGGATTCCACTTCATTGTTACAACTTGGTTCCAGGTCAATTTACCCCAATAATATCAAATTTACCTTCCATTATGTTAACAATTCTGTTCCTGACTATATGCCCCTATAAACTGGCTGCCCTCATCAACTGATGACCCAATAAAACCACTGTATTTCTGTTGATTGACTTGTGATTACTGAGCTGATGGTGCTAGTTTGTAGCTACATCAAGTTCCATGGGAATTAATATACTGTCCTAAAATAATTTTTGACATATGCAGAACAGTGTGAGACCTTTGATTCTTGTTTTCAATAGATCCTGTTGATGGAGGGGAGGTCACAGTCAAGGATTACTTCAAGGCAGCAGAGACAGGTTTGCATCTTTATGGCACATGATTAGAAATATGAAGTCTCATATTCCAGAAATTTTCAAGCTGATATATATAACTTTTGTGAAATGAGAGCAACTTTTCTTGACATGTTCCATTGCTTGCAGCATGTGAGGAGGCTAATGTAGACCAGCCATTCCAATGTATTGATCTTACCTACATCAGTGCCTTGCTGCATTATGGGTATGGATTACAACTGAGTGTCCCATTGGAGGTAAGTGTGTGAATGTTACAGTCCCTTCAAGTGTTTCCCCAACAAGTATGGGTAGGGTATTAATCCCTGCTGGATATTGGGAATACCCAAGAACTATTATTAAAACTTTGTCAGCAATAACATAAATTCCTCAAAATTTGTTATTGTAATTTTTTTAAATTCCTATGTTATTATAAAGTGTTACTAGCTCCTTAAGAAAAAAAGAGTAACTCATGTTAGTTACAGTTTTTTTTCATTACAGTACTCGTACTCAGCTTATTCAGTCTGAAAGAAGAAATTGATGGAACAGAAAAGAATGGAGACTATATTGTCCTCACTTCTGACTGGCAACAATGACTGTACCAACTTGACAAAAAAGGATTGAAATACTACTTGTTTCATATCTTGAGATGGAATGATTACAATTACCAGTTCCTAAAATTTGCAACACATAACTACCCAACCCTGATCTTTCAGTGAAAGAAGACCCATTCCTGAGTTTGACTTTTCTGTGCCTTTGTTTCAGCTGAGGAAGAAGATTGAAGGTCATGAGACCAGCTGGGCATTGGGGGCTGCATACCATATCCTGAATAGTTGAAGGAAAAAACATGGCATATACATTTTTGTTTTCTACAGGTGTATTTTTGTGCTTCTTTTGTTATTGCAAGGAGGGAGGGATTTGGGAAAATGATTCTTCATTGGATGTATTTAATTTCAGACAGCAATCAAATAGTCTACCGGTGCTGAATTATGTCAAAAAACTTTCCAATTCATGAGAAACATGCAGGCATTACATGTTTAGTTATAAATTAGATACCATAAGTTAGTACCTTCCCTATATTTTTGAAGAGGTATATTGTTTACCTTCAGTGGTTCAGATCATGTAAAAAAAATATTGTAGAGGCACAAGCCATATTGAAAGGATCTAGAAATAATTGCATTCCAAGGAGCCTCTCTGCAAAGCCAGAACTCTGTGATAGACAAATGGATGCCTCATGGTAAGTAAATGAATTCCCAGTGAACTTGCATTCAAGCAATATTTCTGTATTATTTTGAAACTGAGAATATTAAGGTTTGGATTGGGTGAAAAATGTTGTGTCATTTTTTTTGGCAAGATGAAGATGAGCAGCTTACCCTAAAAGATGCAAATTTCATTGCTAAAAAAGTAAAATGGTACCAGGAGTGCTAGAAAGAAAAAAACCTGAAATTTCCTTTTACATTTGGGTCTATGGATGAATCAATTTACATAATTGCTGGAAATTTATATATATATATATATATATATATAAATGACAGAGGCCTCATTCAGCAGGCAAATAGACATCCATCATACTTGCTCTTCATGGAGTAAATTGAAGTTGCATATCTCCCTCAGTATTCATCTATTGCACAATTATATCAAAGTACAAAGAAAATACATCCTGTTTGCATTATGAAAGCTACTGTAGGAATAGTAGGTTGTGAAATTTTTTTTAATCACAGAGAAGACTAAAGAACACTAGATTTTATTTCTTCCTGAAAGTTTATAGTGTCTAGGTAGGTCATTCAAACTTGAGTGAGAAATTACAGCTTCTCTATGCATCAGGTTGGTGCAGTTTCAACACTACTCAAAGATTTCTCTCTTTGGGTGCTGTAGAATCTTTTTTTTTTATTGCTCCACTCCAGATATTGTATTCCTGACTGAACAATGTCTTCAGGCCTCAGCTTAAAACAAATAGCCTCAATGTGATAGTGTGTTTGAGTATGACAGAAGGGGGAAGAGAAAATACAGTTTCCTGTCATAGATCACATTTTGTATAGTATTTTCCATCTCCCTTCTTTTAGGAATGTTCATGTCAAGTTGATTTTTTTTTGTCAGCTGCAGCACTATGTGGACAAAAACACTGCTGAAACATGAATGGGCTGAATTTTCATTTTGAAGTTTGAACAATTGTTGGCCACACAGCCTAGAGATTGTAACCCTTCAATATGCATACTAGAATATTGTGATATGAAAAAAAAAAGAACAATCCTGCATGTTTTGTAAGGCATGAGAAGAATTCATTTTGCACCACCTGGTGTGTTGAAACATTGCAAAACATATGTATGGAAAATGAAAAATTGCATCATCATAAGGTGGAAGTTGTAATGGTAGATGATGCAAAACTCAAATTCAGTTTGTCCTCCCTTTGTGTAATCTTTTCTTAGGGTCATTATTTTTCACCTTTCTTGGACATTGAGAATAAATAATGTGGTTACTATTCAGCATCTGTTCCATTCTGAAATTGAGTTGTTTCTAAATTCTTTCACAACCCTTTGAATCCAAGCAAACAATATGTGACCTTGATTGGGCATTGGAGATATCAACCCACAAGGTATAAGGTATCGATTGAGATATCAGGTGAAAAGCTGAAAATTGGAATTCATCCACTCAAGCACACTACAGGTGCCATTGAAAGTTGCTTTTAAGTGATGGGGGGAGAATTTGCCTCATACAAGGCTTTTACTTTGGGTATCTACAGGTCATATATACAGACCTAACAGAGGCATCCTCACCTTGGATAGTTTAATCTCGGTTGTTCTGGTCAATTGTTGGTCAATCCTCAAAAAACCATAAACTTAGTGATACTATCTGCAGCGACAACCTGACCTGATGAAAGGCATGTTATTTTTTTATTTTCATGTTTTGTCTGAACTTTAAGGAGTCAGCATATGAAAAAATATGTGATTGCCAACATATTTTAAATGAATGCCAATTTCTTAATTGAGATAGCTATCAAGGAGGGTTTAATAGAAAAAAAAAATGCAAACAGAGAACATTTTCCCAACAAAAAGCAAAGGCATGATACACCTTTAGCAAAATCCAAATTTGGATTTTGGCTTTAATGCAACCAAATGGAATTCAGTTGCTAGCCTAGCACACCTCTTGTAAATTCAGTTATTGGATGAAACCATGCAAGCAGTACAAGCAGCTGAATATAACTGTTCTGGTCCAACCTATTTAATTCTGGCTAGATGATGAAAAGAATGATGGCCCATTAACAGAAGCAGGAAGGTTCAGATTGGAGATACAAATTTCAATCATTGTCATTATACCTTGTTACATAATAGTGCTGGTGCTGCATTCTGGTGGCAGGCATAGCTGAAATATTTAGATGATTCTTGAACTAGTTATTAAAGATTTGCATTGAATTTCTGATAAGGACAAGGTTTCCAGTATGACAGGTGTTTAAGCCAGTATGGAAACTTTGGAAGAAAAAAAAAACCAAAGTAGACTACACTTCCCAGTAAGACCCCAAAACTCAAATTGCATGACTCAAGAGATATCACTCCTTATGAATACATATAAACTGCAACAACCTGTAAACTAATTTCAATTAGCCCTGACTATCAGATAAAACTGTTTTAATGGTATAGTCTACTCTTTCATGTGTCTTTTTTCTCTGTTTAATCATTACTTGTAACACATCCAGCACAAGTGGGCCAATGCAAAGGTATGTCTTGAGTATCATAATGAGAACTTTTGTTCACCATCCAAGCTGTTTTCACTCAAAAAACTGAAAAACATACATGCCACTGGTGAACGGAAATATTACAGAGCTGGTTTAGGTATTCACAGTAAACTACCAGATATATCCCTGCTTCTCCTGCATGCTACGATGGTGGTGAACTCTTACAAAAGAAATATGCAAAAAGAAATTGTTGGTTTTCATCTGTATTTCTTTGCTCTGAAGCCATAGCACCTTGTAATTAAAATATACATGTCTTGGACAGGCAAAAACATCACATGAACTCTCTTAACATGGATGAACACAGAAATAATGCCTGAGCAAGAGATTGCTTTCCTGATGTACAAGATTCACCCATTGTGGTCATACCAGGGCATCACCTCAAGTAAGGCATACGGCTCCTCAACGAAACAAAATTTCCCAAGTCTCTTGAAGCTGAGACAGTTGCTGCAATATTCTTTGGCTCTACCACAGTTTCTGGGAAATCAAACATGCGGTCCCTGTGAAAGAACCTCCGTGAGCCATCTTCACAGTATTCAAGTTCTTCAACCATATACTCATACACAGTTCTTGGGAGGTCTTCAGGCACTGGTAATATCCTAAAAGAAGAATCATAATCAATGATGAGATACTGCATACAGTGACTTTTCAAGTATGCCATGCCAAGTTAAGAGCAACACTGACCTGAGCTGATGAACAGATCCTGCAGCCAGTTCCATCAGTGTAGGAAACTGGCTGGATCTCGGGCACATGGGCTTGACTGCATAAATATTTGGGTTATCATGCACATCCAAATAGTCCAAACGAAGTTGAAGCAGTGCAGCAGGGAGGTAGTCCAGCATATTTGAACAAACAGACAGGTACCTATGACCAACATAACGAGATTTAGCATTCACCTCTAAAGATAAACATATTTGCAAAGTGAGTTTAGATTAAAACATGTATTCAGGGCTAACCTGAGCTGACTGAGACGAGCAAGCCCCCCTGGGAAATGCCTGAGTTGATTATTGCTCACTTTCAAAGTCACCAGACTTCTTAAATAACACAAGGTTAAGGGAAGCCTTTCCATCTATAACAGGAGATATGAAACATTGCCACCTTCAATGCACGAAGATGAATACTGACACCATAAAATAATATCATCAATTAGCCTAGTCCTCAATGAAACTGCAAATTACTGATAAAAAGACAATACCCACCTGATTACCACTGAGATCAAGCAGACAGAGGGTTTTCCTCAACACACCATTGTAGAAAAGTTCTGCAGGGATTGCCTTTATTGTGTTTTTGGCTAAGATGAGTGTGTGAAGAGGCAAATGTGCAAGTGCACTTGGGATACTTGCAAGCAGATTCCCACTCAGATCCAGTGTGGACAGATGTAGCAATCTTGTGATTCGTAAATCAAGCCTTTTTAGACCAACTTGAATCTAAAAAAAAATAAGGGAGGATGACAACTAATTTTTAGACGTATGGTAGGACACTTATGGAACACAGATTTGTGCACCTTCAGATTCTCCAAACACTCCGAGAATCCATTCAAAGCATGGTACTGGGCCTTGGAAGTTATGACCAAAGTCTTCACTGGCTTCTGCAACTGTGCAGTTGAGGCAGGTACCAAGGGAGAAAGATGCGGCATCAAAGACAGTACATCCTTCCGCTTGAATGCCTTCCCGAGCATGCTCAGGAATGCCCTGAGCTGTTCTGGGCTTGCATCCTTGATGCAGATATCATGAGGAGGTTCTTTGAAGCGCAGTGTCATTTTGCCTTCTTGGCTGTATCTGGCAAATATTCCACTCATATTTTCCACCTGAAAAAGAAGTACAAACCTTCCTTAGGAATAATATTTTAAACATTGCACCAAGACTAGTTTATGGTACCCCACCTGATAGAGATTCCCTTTGCGATTAGCTGCTGTACAGATAAGAATGCAGAAAACTGACTTCTTTTCATCAAGAGTAGCAGCTGTATGAGGCTCAGATTTCCCCTTGATGCCAAGAGTGACAACACCCCACTGAGGTGCCTGACCAGCGGTCTTGCCAAGAGAGGGAAGCAGTCTATTTGAGGTGCTTACTCTGCATTTCAGCTTCATTTTCAAAATTCATCTCATAACTTGATGGATGGTAGTCCTAGGCAACTGTTAGAAGGCTATAGAACACCTATGAATTAATCAAGTGGTTAATTAGACCTAGCCTAACGCAGCAAAAACTGTAGAAACACTGGCAAAACATAAACTAAGCCATCACAGAAAGCCTGGGAAAAATGAACGACGCTACGAAGATATCGAGTGGCCTGCGAGCATTAACCGAACTCGCTGACCCCGGCCTAGATAGTCCGCATCACTCGGAGGGTGGGATTGAATGACTGGCAGCACAGGTTTTAAGAGCCCAAGGACTCAAAACAGGGCGTCACTACGGTCCCAAAGGTCGAACGCATTTGAGATATGGAGTTCATTCGGTTCAACTCCTCAAGGCCGCCCTCTCGGAGGCATGGACCTCCCTCCGTCGCAGTCATGCCACGATTGGCGGGGTACACACTCGTCGCGCCAGGATCGTCGAGGCGGTCACCCATCAAACGAGATGGTTCGTATTGCTTCGCTCAGATGTCTCTGCGGCAGCGGCGAGGAGTGGATCGGCAAATAGGCCTCTTCACCCGTGGAAGCGAACAGACCAGTCTAGCCCTTCCTGGCACTCGCGTTCAGCCGGCGGTGCTGCTCTTCCCGCTAAGCTTTTAGTTCTATCATATCTTATCGTCTTACCGTTGAGCATTTGCCCATATTCAATCAGCTTATCACAGAGATGGGCTGCAAAATATTCAACTATTTGGCTAGTACTGCTCGCAAAATATGAAAATTAGTTTCTATTTTATTTTCGATAGTTTTGAGGTCCCCTATTTCCTATACCTACTTCAATATAGTTTTATGCTTTCCAGCAATCCTTGAAGATTTCAGAAGAAACCGATGACGAATTCAAGACTCAAAACGCTAATGCTAAACCACTAAAACAAAAATTACCTCTGCGTTCAGGAATATTTATTCTTGAGAAATTATTCGCGTTTTATCCAAATTCTTGAGGCGAGAAAGTGGATGGAAGTACAGTCCAGTTCCTCCAGAGTAAATGATTTTTTCGTAATAAAAGTATGAAAAAAAATTAGTTTCATACACTTGGTTTCATTCATTCATCGGTTGATTATTAATTTATTAAATTATTAATTAGGGAAAATTTTACAGAAATTTCACGTATGAAATGAAAATACTTCCATTAAGAGAGGGACTTTGTTCTATTTTCAAATTTGGGGACTTTTTGCACTCAAGTTTATTAAATTAAGTGTATTCTGTCCGGTATCGTTCCATGGAGAGGCGGGAAAACAATGGAAAGAGAGAGAAAAAAAAGACCTGAAAATTGCTATTATTCCCGAGAGCTATGTTTAGACCAGGGGTTCTTAACCTTTTTGCACCAGATCCTCAAGTATTACCCATGGACCCCCACCCCCGGTTATCAGAAACTTTGGAACACCTGGATTTGTAATTATAAATTATGTTTTATGGGATCTACCTCCAAGTACATATTTAATTTTCCCTGGACCCACCCAACGGACCCCAGGTTAAGAACCCCTGGTTTAGACGATGGGGCAGGCTGGATTTGTTGACTTCGGAAACGACCTATCGAAACATTTCCTTGTTCAGATTTATGTCGACCTTCTAGGACAGACTGTTTGAAAAATATTTGTCAAATAGTATTATGCACATACTAACCCATTCGGCACGACAACATTGTGTCAATATTGATAAAAGGTTGAAGCATCCACATTTTAAATTGGTTCCACCAATCGACACGAGATGGCACCTAAGCGCCGATTGAGCGATTCTCACCCTGGTGCCATCGGAACGAGTCCCCTGAATTTTTCACACAGCACCCGATCTTTCCCCACGTACAACTTAAGGGAAGGCTTTGGAATTCCTCGATAGACCCGTTTAAGGAGGAAACCCAGCAGAAGGAGACTCCAAGTACTACAGGCCAGGGGGACAGAGGAGACAAGTCTCTACAAGGCCCTCCGATGCGAGACAGTTTCTTCAAACGCTTCAAAAAGAAGAGTAACGCCTCTCCAGTACTTGACTCGACCTTCGATCCAAGAAAGGACATATGGCTTCCTCCGGCTTAATAGTGATCAATATAGTACTAGAATCCCACCTGGTGCTCCGTGATAAACTTGTTATACAACAATCTCTCCATCTAATCGATATTAGCGCTCAATCAGACTCGGAAAGTGGATTAGGCGATACTACGATGCCCACGCGTTGACGATTCAACTGATTTTCAATGTTGGACCGAGTTTCATCCCAACATTGCTGCAACAACGAGGCAACATTGCCACGTTGAAAAATCGACCTTTGCTCAATGTTGGCACAACATTTTGCTGTGCCGAATGCGTAAGTTTCCCGGCCTCCAATTTCTATCGAAAGAGGCAAACTCCCTCGCCCTCGAGAATCTTCGGAACTTCAGATCGTCCGCAACTCGACGCAGCCGAAACTTCCCGCCATCCCTCCCCCTCTCTGCGCATGCGCAGTGCGGCATCACCCCAGCGCAGCGAGGCGGGATCGCGCCAGTGGAAGGAGGAGGCACTCGCGAGGTGGACGCACAGCCCCATCGGTCAAGGTGAGTGCAGTTCTCTCTCATTCCGCCAGATGTCGCGTTGATAGGGGCCGGTTCTATTACCCTCACGACCTTCCCAGCGGAAAAATAAGCGCTCGATGAAATGCGGGAGGGGGATGAGCCCATTCATCTTCGCTCGGTCGCCCTGTCGGGACTCCCGCACGACGAAAAAAAAAGACGGAAAACTTTCGGAATGGGGAAGAACCCGACGAAGCGGCCGGGGCGAACGTCCAGCCTTTTTTGTGACGTCACGCAGAGAATAATCGCGAAAGGCGAAGTTTCGACGGGTGGCAATCACAGAAGTTGTTTTCCGAATCATTTCCCATGAACGAGGAAAGTCCATTTGTCTCCCTTGTGTCTCGGAAGATCGTCAGTTTTTTTTTTGGCCTTAAAGCAGCAGCGAACGATATCATATAAATATGTAAAACTTAATTATATAAAAATAATGATAAATGCCAGAGAAATCTGATACGAAGCAGATTGTTTCCGATTGATGCCAACGACCGATCGACCAATCTATCGACGTCACGAAATCCGGTCCCGCCTCGAAGCTGTGAACGAGGACATGCCGGACTCGAGGAAATATGTAGGACGACGAATTCCATCGTGGAAGTAGAACGGCAAAACCCGTTTTGAAAAAAAAAGAGAAGGGGACAAGCATCGTGCTTTAATCCTCAACCTTATATATATATATAGTATATCAAATAATGGACGCTCCCACCACGAGGATCTTCAACATCTTCAGTGTACGAGCTTCGAATTTTTCAAGGATCCTCAATAACTGCAGGAGATTTTTTCGCGTTAAATTTTCGTCTATTACTGACATTTTAATTGAAATGACTTACGGCATCGAGCACCGCGTTTCCACGGTGCAACAATACTATTTGAGTAAAAAAAAAAAAAAAGTCTGGGGACGGCAAGAAGGGGGATTTCGTCGACGGAATAGGCCGCACATAAATATGGATTCTTAGAGACCGGACTGGCCCAAAGGCTCCCCGCCGGCCTTAGGTCGTGCACCACTGGAGCATGGAGTCATTGCCCTGGATTCAAATAAGGCATCTGGAAAGGAAATCGCCTGGCCCCCCCGACCAGATTACATTTAAAAGTTCGCGTAAACAACCCGAAAAAAAAAACAAGGAGCTCCAGGATGCCATTCAGAGTGAGATATAAAAAATTTCCAGAGGCTTTCGAAGCAGTCGCCCAGAATTTCGTCGTCCGGCTGTGCCACGTGGTTACAATCAGGGACCGTAGCCAGGAATTATTTTTAAAAATATTATAATATAAAAATTTAATTATTTAAAAATTATTTTCGGGGGTGTCTCGTGAGGCTCATGAGATGACGAAGTGGCCCCCCCCCCCTCTCATACTCCTTGTTTCATGAAACCTTGCTTCATTTCGGGGGGTTGCAAATGCAAGCGAGGGCACCCACATTCAGCACGTGGTTGCAATCGAGGGCACCCACATTCAGCACATCCTTACATAATCTCCTGCAGTCGTAGTTTAATATACCGTTTGGGCTCAGTTTCTAGCTTTTGTAGAATTCGAGAAATAACTTTTTATTTTTGGAGCTCCGACCGTTTGCCAAATTTAATTGAGACGGTCGAGCACAGATCACGACCTCACTTCGAGGTGGAATGATCCACCTCTAACCCCCTTTAATTCACCTCTGAATGGGCATTACACATCGAAGGCAGGGGTTCTGAAAAAAAAAGCTGACGTACATTTCAGCATCTTGTAACCGCCCAATGCCGATCGCATGACCAACGTATAACTTTTTTTATGCATTTATGAAACTTTGTTTCTCTCATAGAAAACGGAAGAGCGTTTTTTTTTTTTAAATCACCAAAATATACAGTACACAGTAAATATACAGTATACGAGGAGTGATAAAAAAAAAATTCTGGGATTTTTAATTTTTCACGACGCTGCGGTGACTCTCTCCGACTACCGATGGATATATCCTCGAAAGTAGTCCTCTTCGGCATCTACGCACATTTTCCGGCGAGATGAAGGCGACGAAGAGATCACTCAGTCTCGCAAAACGACAGAGGATCAAATCCCTAATGGCACGATTAAATCGAAAAATGGCGAGGCGTGAGGCGCGACATTAGCTCAGATTCATCGCGCCATCACGAAATCGTTCCGAGGGAACAGCGCGCCTCACGATATCTGCACCACGCAATTTGTTCGGTCGGTTCGTCGATGTGACAAACATTTCATTCCATATATTCCATATATGAATGCTTCATTTCATATTTACTATTTATTTATTTATTTTTTTAAATTACATGTTGAAATCGAGCCGAGGGGAAAAAAAAACCCGGATGTTTCCCCTCTTTCTCGGGGAAATCCACCGGGACGAGCACTCCCCGAGATGGAATCCCCCAGCAGCGGATTCCGGGAACCCTTCCCACAGAAAATCCCACGATCTCCCTGAACTACAAGTAACAAAAAAAAAAATAGATAAGAGAGGTTTAACTTTGAAGGATATGCAGACATCTCTCTCACACGAGAATCTTTCCCGAGAATCTCCTCCCGGATGGCACAACCCACTTTCATGTCCTTTCTCCTACAAGGAAATTCTCTCTCTCTCTCTCTCTCTCTCTCTCCCTCTCCCTCTTTTATATATTACACTTATCGACTGCTTCAGCTACATGTCATGAATGCCTTGCGCGACTCTTCTTTCCTGTTAGAGGATTTCCTATATTCACTCGATTCTGGCTTCTTGGGTTTTCCTGCTCACCTTTTTTATGATCAAAAAACAATATTTGTATTATATTTTGTCATTATTATTATTATTATTGGACTCGTAACAGACCAACTTGCCGGGTAAAAAAAAAATGCGACCATGACGTGCGAAGACCGCTAATCGGATCAGTACCCCGCAGGAACCGGTGCTTGACAGTACTGCAGCCGAATTCCACACAGTCGAAAAGTTCATCAGTATTCTTTTACGATTTAAATAATTTTTTATAAGTTTTTTTTTTCAGTACTTCCTGCACTGAATCATTACTTACAATTCACACGAAAAAAAAAACATGATGCAAATCCATTCGTACTTTATTTATCGGGTGCCGAATGGTAGTTGTTTTTCTTTTTTCGCCGGTCTGTGCATCCAAGATAAATAAGTACTACGAAGCCCTTTCGGTACTATATCGGTACTTGAGACGTCCAGAAGGCACATCAACAGGCAATCCAACCGTATTTACTGAAATCGGTCCCTTTTTTTTTTTGCTCTAGGCTGGCCTGGGATAAAGTGCTTCCAGTGCTTTCAGTACTAGATCTGTACCCCAGACCACAAATAGGCAATGAGCCAGAGTCTGTCTTTGAACGAAATCCAGATCTAATCCTTAATCTCCGGAAGAATTAGACCGTTACGGTCGAAATTCGTGAACATTTTAGAACTTGGAGGGAGTTTGCATAATTCCATGGGTTTCGGCGAACGCGAGTTGCGAGAGTGGGAAGTTTGCGGGAGAAAATCATTATGGTAGCCGTGATGTAGTTTGCTCGGGGAATCAAATATTCAGGCTTTGAGGGGGGCTGAGGGGGGGCCGAGGGGGGGTTGAGGGGGGGCCCGAGGGGGGGGTGGGGGGGGGCCGAGGGGGCTGCCTCGATGGGTTCGCGGGTGAAGTTCCTGCTCGCGGAGACGCCGCGGTTGTTCGCCTTCTCGATCAGCTCGATCAGCTCCTCCAGGGCGTCCTCTGCCCGAGGGGGGGTTGAGGGGGGGCCGAGGGGGCTGCCTCGCCTGGAGCGGTATCGTCGCCTCGCGAGGCTTTAATGCGGGTGACGGTTTTCCACGGTGGGATGGAAAGTGGGCATTGCGCGATAGCGGGGAAAGAAGGGGGGAGGGGGGAGGAAGGGGGGAAGGGGGAGAATCTCATTTCCTTTTCCAGTCGGGGCTGGGGGTTGCTCGGGGAATGCGCTCGCTCGTGTCGGGATGACCGAGACCTGTTGACTTGTTGACAGGCGCCGTCGTGACGAGAATCCCTCGATGGCATCGCTGTTCCCGCTGTCCCTGCCGTCGCTGAGGCCTCCGCGGCTGGCGAAGCCGTCGCTTCGACTCATCGTCCTCTTCTTCTTCTACCTTCTGTTCTTGGTGATCGGGGCGTCCATCTTCTCGGCCATCGAGGCGCCCAAGGAGGTGGAGCTCATCAAGAGCGTTCGGCGCAGGAAGGAAGAGTTTCTCAATAAGCATCGCTGCGTCTCGGGTACTCGTCTTTTGCGTTTTTCCGGGTGTATCTGGGGGGGGGTTCTTCTGTGTCCGTTATGGCGTAATGATGTGATATTCGGTCGATGTTGCGTGTGCATGTTGTGTACTTGATATTGACCGGTCTCGACATTCGTGATCGTGCTGGCAATGGCTTCACAGATCATCTGGTCTGATATGGAGCCTCATATGCATGCAAAGTCCAGTATTAGTACAAGTTCGTTAAAAAAAAAATTAGCGACGGCAATAGCATACAAACATCAGGGGCGCATCCTCAGCAGTTCAGACGATAGCGCCACCTCTCAGATGAATTTTCTATGAACCATGCCCTTCACAAGGCCTACGATCATTGGCGGATACCGTGAAGGACGACCCTTCTCGGGATATTATCCCCCGAGAAGAGACTCGGCCGACAAAACGCATTATGTCCAGGGAATGACTACAGAAATTCCCCACGGTCCTCCTCCCCCCCTCCCCCCCCCCCCCCCCCCCCCCCCCCCCCCCCCAGGAATGACTACAGAAATTCCCCACGGTCCTCCTCCCCCTTCCCCCCCTCCCCCCCTCCCCCCATGCCACATCACACCGACGGGAATCCCTCAGAGGCTCGTGACGCGGGAGGCTTCGATCGGGAGGAAAGACTCGAGAGTGCGAGCCCACGCTCGACCTGGAGAACTCAAGGAAGCCGAGGACAGATTGGAGGATTCGAGGAAGTGGACTCGAGGATGTGGACTTGAGGATGTGGAGGACTCGAGGAAAGAGGTGGAGGACTGAAGAAAGTGGAAGACAGAAGGATTTCATTAGGAGGACTAAGGCATACCACGCGGAAGGATTCCTCTTCTCGAGGGGATGGACGAGGATTTCCCTGGAGACGTCTTGTCTCGTGTATCGATCACGCAATCGGTCGTTCCCTCATCGTTCTGCTCCTTCAGCTTCGTTACCGGCTTCGTCCGTAACGAAGCGGGATCCCCCCCCTGCACCGTTCCATCTCCCGTGACAGTAATGAGGAAGGAAACACGGTCAGTTTCGCCTCCGAGGAGTCTGTCGATATTCGGGTCTGCTCGTGTTACCTGCGTCACCAATTAGTAGAATCGATGCATATTAGATCACGGAAATCCGGTCGGCCGATTAGAAAGAAGCAGAAAAGAAGACACGCCTCGCAGCCGGCGCGAAACGAACTCAAAAGGATCAGAAATCACTTCTAAGCTGAATCGGCTTCTCTCCGGGGAAATCGGCTCGTCGCAAGACAAGCCCAACTTCATACAGGCCGTCATGCTCTTTCCTTATCTTCCGTCAGCGTCAATTACCGTTCCAGACCGTTTGATCAATTGTCGAAACCTATCCGAGTCGATCTCGCGATCGAGTGTCGTATGATATTTTTCCCCAACTCCCTTAATGGAAATGAAGGGAGTTCGTTTTAAAAAGTAGAAATGTAAGTTTGTCGATTGCCAAAAGAGAAAATAACCTTTACTGTCAGAATCTTTCAAGATCGCCCGAGGAGTCGACACTGGAGTCGCAAAAGGAACACTAAAAGGCACGGAAGAAATAGCCCCCGAGGAACGAGGCGAAGTTCCTTCGTTTCCGTTAATTGTGGGGAAAAATATCATACGACACCGGCGTCGATCCAAGTCTGCCTCAATTTTTCGGCACCCAATGAATTTATCCTCTTCAAATTCTGAAGGAAGAAAAAAAAAAAAAGAAAACACTCGGGGCATCTCATATTCACCCCTGCTTCGAAGCGATATCGAAACCGAGCCACAGCATAGACGACCCCCGCAACGACACCCGCTCGACGCGAGACCCCCTCCTCGACTGCCACGTCCTTGACATCCCCAGTCCCTGCCCTCCCCTTCGCCCGGCCCCATGACGTCACCCCGAGATAACAGACCCGGGTTCGCTCCCCCCTCGCAAACACATCTGCCTCCACTCGCCAGACGAGCATGGAGGAGTCGACGCCCATCTTGAGCTCCACCGGGAGCTTCTACGCGAATCGCGCGTGTTGCATGCGATTCAGCAACTGGCTGCTGCTCGGGTTCGCGATCGCCTTTCTCAGTTACCTCTGCATCGGTGCGCTCATTTTCGGCCTCGTGGAGTCCCCGGCCGAACACAAGATCGAGGAGGAACTCCTCGAAAAGAAGCAGTTGTTCCTGAATCTCCACCCATGTGTCACAGGTGCACCCCCCCCCACCTGCCCCCTGCCCCCCAGCCCCCCACCCGCCCCCCTGCCCCCGAAGGTGAACTCGCCCCGTTTCTCGTGCAGAGGACGCCCTGGAGGAGCTGATCGAGCTGATCGAGAAGGCGAACAACCGCGGCGTCTCCGCGAGCAGGAACTTCACCCGCGAACCCAACTGGAGTTTCGGTCAGGCGTTTTTCTTCTCCGGGACCGTCGTCACCACCATCGGTGAGTTCCTCTGCAAATTTGCGCGCGAGACTCAGTGCATAAAATGCTAAACTTTTTTTTTTTTGCCGTCCCAGGCCGTAAATTCGTATAGAGCAGTGATGCACAACCCGCGGAGACCTTTTTTTCGGTCCTTTGGTCTCTAAAGATCCATATTAATCCGCGACCGATTTCGGTTCATATTCGAGAGCCGCAGGCCCTCGAACCCCTCGAACATGAGACGAAGTCTCAATTTGGCCCTCTAGGGGGAAAAGGTTGTGCACCACTGGTATAGAGTATCTGCAGCTGACGTAACGATTGGCGTGTAAAACGATCCAAAACGCGTACGTCTGCCCTTCGCACCACAATTACAGTATTAAATAAATATACAAAACTCTTAGATCTATGCATGAAAAAAGCTTTTCTGCATGATTTCCTCCTACCATAGCGATAAACAGTTTCCGACTTCAGTAGCATTTCCTGTCGACGCATTTTCCCCCCTGGCCCATCCTCTTCTAGCCGAGTATACCTCGTATAATCGCATCACGGGGAA